TGCACAACCATGCCCGTCCTCCTCTCTGTCTCTACATGATGGCATTTTCACTAGTGAAGTATGATTTGCAAAAAGAAAAGTCCAAGTGTTTACCATCTTGCTCTTCCCTCTGATGACTGCCAAGCGAGTGACGGTGCTGACATAGTATGGTATGGGAGGTTGGCACTGCTTTACTATGGATTTGAGACAGTCCCACCGATCCTTGTTTAGCGATACATGGTTGCCGTAGAAGATGCGATCCTCGAAAGTTCCTTTTCTCACAAGGTATCTCGGACCTGTATCAAAAAAAATTTAAGATGACAGAGTAGTAAAGAATTTCATACGTAAGATCTAGAACATCAGCACTGGGTTAATGATCAATGCCTACTCCAATGATCAATAAATGAAGGACATAGATAACCCAATCACATCCACCCAGCAATATCTCGTAGAAACATGGGCAAATTGAATATTTGATTTATTTAAACTAACAACTAAACACTCCTCTATGTAAGCACTAGTTCAGTAAATGTTGATTTGGAAGGTCATCTAACCCAAACAGAGTAATGTCTGGTAATCAAGTGTCACTCAAACATCAACTTTCGATATTTCACGGTTCATTTAATATTTGACCAGCCATATAGAACTTTACTCCATAGTGCCAAGATAGGATCGTGGTCCACATCTCCATCTCCATCAGAACTATCATCAGTGTCATAGTCGCTAGAGGTGTCATCATCAGCGCTATAGCCGTCACTCCCACGTGAAGTGCCATCTGAAGCATCATCTGAGGTGGTCCGGTGATCACTCTCTTCACTGCTGATGAGGATGGTTTCCCTTGTCATTCAAACATGTTGCATGCATTGCAATGAACAAATGTTAGTTATTGATATATGAAATCTGTCTTCCATTAGGACTTGTTAGCACCATATACAATGTGAGTAATCTTTTCGCATACTTCTCGCTAAGTACGTAGTTCATGTATAAACATCTACACAAAAGAGCTAGTCGACAGCTATTCGCATGACTAGTCAAGACTAGTGGTTAGACTCATAATCATTGGGCAGACATAACCAATTAGGATATTTCAAGGTTACAATTTTGTGAGCTGGACAAGAAAACTTGGTAACGAACCAATTAGTAGCCATGTAAAAATGAACCATGATTGACTGCTCTCATCGAGCAATACGTGAAACTATAACTGATCTGCCTTTGATAACTGCAAATTTCCTGATGGGCTGTTGTGTGGTACCATCAGGTAATAAATATAAAGTTTTAAATTGTCCCAACAAAACAAATAATGCATTTTCTGCTGTACATAACATTTTTAGAGGTAGCTGTGGAGGTTAATTTTCCAATTTCCAGTGAGAATAAGGACATGATAGAATCTCTCAAGCAAGATGACAGCATAGTGAAGGCTATGAGAACGAGCAAGGTATGCTGACCAATAGTCACCCTTTTGTATACTTCTATTTATTTACTCATTACTACCCATACCAACAAGTAAAATCATGATTATGAAGTATAATGGCAGAAAATCCAATAGTGAGGAATTTGTTGCAATGTGAACTACTAGCTCACAACAATTTTTCATTCACCCCAACAAGTCCATACCATCTCTTGGAGATAGGCTGACATAATTCAAGTAAGCAGTAACAACAATCAGCAAAAATATGCACCAACCAAAAATATTACATGTGTGCACATATCATCAAAAACATGCACCAATCAAGAGCAGTCTATACTTGACAAATCCTTCAAAATATGCACTAATCATCATACTACCATCGAGTAATACTTGAAACTATAACTGATCCTCATTCCATCATTACAAATTTCCTCATGGACTGCTTCTGTTCTCGCCTTTTTAGTTTTTAATAACTAAGCATCAGCAAATACATATACACAGTCTTCAAACTATCCCAACAAACCAAAACATGTGTATGCTCCTGTGAATATACTTTTTCTATATCTAGAAGTGGGGGTCATTTTACAGGGGGAAAACTACTTGATAGCATATGTCATGCAAGATGATAGCATAGTGAAGGCTATGTCGACGAGCAAGGTATGCTGGCCAACACCCACCTTTTTCTCTTACTTGCGCGAAAGTGTTTACCCATTACTACCCATATGAACAAGTAAAACCATGATTATGCAGTACATTGTCAGATTATCTTGCTGTAAAATTACTTGTTGCAATATGACCTACTAGTTGACAGTAAATCTGTGAATACCCGAAACATGCACACAAGCAAGTGTCAGATTTTAACATGGACGGTGCTACTAGATCGCAAAATTAAGGTCAGATCGACATTCGAAAGGCAGGGAAGATCAATCTTACCTGCGAAGTGGTACCAGATGGGGCTGGAGTAGACTTGTTTGAAGCTGGCACCACCGGAGCTTCGGGCGGCGCAACCAGGATTGGGGAGAAGAGGTGCCATTGTCAGACCTTGCTGTCGACGAAGCAGTGGAGAATCGTGGCCGGAGCAGGGGGAGTGGGTGGCCTCGCGGATTCGGCTGATTTGACGACGACGGGGGCGGCTAAGGTGACGGCTTGGCAAACCCTAGCCATCGCCCTCCGCGTCGCCTCTCTGTCTCTGCAAAGAACAAAGTGTGGTAGGATTGGGAATGGGGGTGGGGTTGGGGTTGGGGCAATCGCTCGCTTTTCTCTCTGCCTCCCACTTGTGTAGGCCCACAAAAGGAACAAAGTGTTGGGCCGGATCAGATGCATATTTGGCAACTTTACCAATTCTGGCCAAACAGAAAAGATCAACATGACCACAGGTGTTCTTTTGAATAAACCCTAAAAATACACTGCTGTTCGTATTGCATGTGGATGAGTCTTTCAATACACCAATTGATCTTGAATAATTTTAAGCACTCCACAGTATATATATATGAAAATAATGGTTAACCAATAAAATGGTAAACTATTAGATGCAAGGTTACAAATATTTGAAAAAATCAATAATTGAATTGTATGCATTTTTATGATTAAATTTAATAAATGTAACATTTCTGCAAAAACTATGATAATTAAAATATTCATTGGTATTTTAAAAAAACCCCCGCAAATGACTACTTATGCCAACCAGAACTTCTTTAGGGTTTCATTTATTCATCTATTCTTTGGCGTGCTGGTTCTCATAACGCCTTCTTCGGACCTTCTCTTTGTCCGACAAATTCCTGAGATATTGGGCTAGCACCTTGTGTTTCTCCCTCACATCATGCTTCATTTGGTATCCTTTGGCAACTCCTTCTGTGTGCTCAAGAATACTAACAAAAGCCGGGTCCAGATATTTGCCACAGAACGCGCAACGATACGCCATACGCTTAAGCACGTTGCACTGTCCATTCTACTATTCTTCAAGGGTTTTCTGAGTGTGTGCATCCATCTCTCCTTCGGAAATGTCCGCATAATCTTGAGAATAAGGCTGCAAGTTTAAATTATGTATGATATAACCTGCACCATTGTTTACAATACCTAATATTCCCTAAGTTTCATACTGTAGTGCCTATAAATTATTTTTAAAGTAAATATTTATTAACTTTGAAAATTTAAGGAGAAAAAAAGCAATATCAAATCCATATGAAAGCACAAATCATATGATGTACTTTTTAAAAAATTGTCAATAAACATGCACGACCTTTGTGATGTCTGACTTTTGGCATAAAACCAAAACGCAGTAAATTGTGGAGTGGATGAACCATTAATTTCTCAAAGATTCATTGAATAAATAATGATCATTACGTACTGATGATCAACATTATATTTGGAGCTAGATTCCATTATGCCAATTCAACAATGTATTGATGGTTTAATGATTAACCTCTAACCTTAAACTTGAAGACAGATCTAGGGTTAAAAAAAATTAAAATTACCGTAATGGAATTCCAGTCCATGCCGTGCATGTGCTACTGCTTGTGATCGACGACGGAGTACTGCACCTTGTTGACACGATGCTTCTCTGTGTCGGACACCAAGTAGTCCAAAGCTTTCTCCTGGGGATCCTGATCCATGCGATGGACGACGACGCCGGTGGTTAGCCCCGCAAGTCCACGATCTATCACGATGCCGTCCATGACAGGCCCCTCACGTCCATGGCCACGATCTGTCACGACGGCCAATCGACCTCCACGAGTGGATTTCATATCCGGCGGTAGGGAGGCGGGCATGTGAGCGGTGATGATGGTTTTAGAGCGTACCCTAGGGGGAGAGATGCGGGGAGTAATTGGTAGTTACCTACTATAACAGAAATACTTATGAGAAAAATTGATTGGTTGGCGTTGGGCACCTTCAATGTAGAGGCGCTTATTTAGGCGCTTAATTAGGATCATGGAAAAAAATCACAAGCGTAGGCGCTTGGGGCAGGAGCTAGGAACTGGATTTTGTACATCTACGTGATGCAATCCAAAGATCATGTCCGGGGTGGATGGGTTGGGGATTGAAAATTGTGTACATTAACACTAATGCTCAAGAGTTGTGAAAACATCAAATCAAACTGTCATCAAGTGATCTAGTATTACTTGGATCGAGACTTTGTGATCATCATGTAGCCACGCCACAAACACGATGGTTCTAGTATTACTTGGATCAACACCTTAGGCAGAAAACTAGTGCATTTCCTTTTTGAGTCACCATCTTCCTTCTTGAAAACCACATGTACACACTCATCATGTATACCATAACACATCAAAATCTGTTAACGAGCGCTCACAAGCTTAACTAGCTTCAAACGAACCTAGCCAATCAGGTTTTTATGCTATTTAATCAAAATGAGCCGATGATTAATGAGCACGAGTTTAACAAGCAGAGATGCCAAACCACACACCAATTAGCATAGTTCTACCTTAGTTCAATGCTTCCATATATACAAAAGCAAGCACCACTTAGTAGTACTGGTGCACATAGTTCGACCATAAACGTTCACCAACAAAGTATAGCATAGGGTAGTACTTTGCATAGTTAAAACCAAAAGAGCATCAGTTCTAGCTGCGAGGGTGTGCACTTCCCTAAAGCCTCAAAGAAGCCTCATCAAGTAATCGGCATACGTGGTGTGCTTCACCCTGAAAGCGTAGCCATTCTTGGTGCTGCCTTGGGATGTTCCGACTGCATGGTTGATGGTACTCGACAGGTCGCCTTTCATCACCTTGTTGCAGTAAGGACATCTGTAGCCCTTTCCGAATCTAGGCCTCACAGCTTTCTCGAGCTCACCATTGTCCAGCTGCCTCAACTTCTGCCTCCTGAAGATCCTCTGGGTTTCTGGGTCACTATCAACGTCGTCACTTAGGACCTACATGTAGTACAAAATGTTGCGTAAGTATATTTAATATGATAATTTAGCAGGCACATAGTCTATGAAACATAATGTAATTGATGACAGCGTAAAATATCTTCAAATGACATTGAAAAAATAAATGCATAACTTATTAGTTGCTACATAAGCAACTAAATGGGATAGTACCATATAGTAAAAAAATGAAGGATCAACCATACATGTTGAAGAGAGCACTAGCATTGCCACATTTTGCCACACATTTTCCCAAGCTTGCCTAAGGTTAGTTCATCAAAATGAGAGCCACAAGTTGGCAAGCCTAAGGGAACCTTGTCACACTTTTTATGTGTATGCCATGTTGGACCCAAGTGTGGTTGGAACCAAACACTCACTTAAGTTGGTCAAACTTGCCTAACCTTAGGTATGGCAATCTTTGGCAAAGTTAGTCACAAACCAAACAACCCTTTAGTGCAACAAAATTCACTTGTTACGTAAAAATGCATGAACTGATGATGTAACATGGCAAAGCAGCATACAGATGTACTAATGCAAAAAAAGACTTATAACTTACATGCATGACTAGATAAAATAGTTCGTGAGCTGTATCTATTTAGGGTTAGAATTTTGTGTGCTTATGATGATGGATATTGAAAGTCCCCATGTTATCGTCGTGGAAGTTTCCCCTATTGATTGATACCCCACCCATCAATGTTCCTGAACCATTCAACGTTCTAGGTAAAGTAGTTAATTATTATGAATTCTGACAATAAGTGATCCCAAATGTTGTACTTACAAAAACGGGGTTTTATCATTTATGCCACCACTTGTGTCCCACAACTAAGTATCACCACTAGGAATTTCTACTGCTAAAAAAAGCCATCGCTTCGTTAGACACATGCTCAAAAATGCCACTGCACATCATTATTGTGATATCAAATCTATCTTGACATGCTATAATGGCATCAATACCTATGGACCAACATGCCAGCTCTCCCTCTATCTCACTACAATAAAGTGTGGGCCCACTTGATCCCAACAACGTTCTTATTTTCCTGTAAAATTATTTGCTTACTTACTCCTCACAAGTGGGGCCACACTTATCATTGTGAGATGGAGAGAACTGAATGCGGGCCTGGGCTTTTTTTGTCATATTGGATGGTCAACAAGTTTTACATGAAAATAACAATGTCTAATGGCATTATTGAGCAAACATCTAACGGAACGATGGCATTTTTTATACATCTAATGGCATTTTTGAGTAAGCATCTCAAGAACCGATGGCATTTTTGAGCGGCTGTAAATTCTAAGGGAAAACTGAGTAGTGGGATACAACTGGTGGCATAAATGATAAAAACCCGACAAAAGAACTAATTAAAACAACTCAAGTAAAACATTGATGATATCCAATTTCTTTCTAAAATAGCCATTGCTTAGAGATAATCAATGTTTAAAATCATTACCACAACCACTTATGGAACATTTCAACCAAAGATTGATCAAGTGCAACCAAACATGTACTCAACATTTTAATACCTTATTTGCCTTGTACTGACCAGGGAAAACCTAGGATATTACAAAATAAATAAATAAATAAATAAAGGGGATAGATGACTAACCTCTTCTTTGTTGTCGTCGGCAACGACCACAGGTGGGGGCAGGGGAGGCAACAACCGCGGCAGATAAACACCCGACTGCGGCCGAGGAGCCACCACCTGCTCCGACAGAGAAGCCAGAGGAGCTACCTGTTCCGGATTATTAGCAAAATAATTTATATAGGTCAAAAACTAACATATACATGCCTCAATAAATGTAATCTAGCTACAGAGCTGGGGATCTAGGATTTCATACTTGGGTGTTCAAAAATTTATATTGCAAAGTGAAACCACAACAATATTTTTCAAATGGAGGGAGTAATATCTAAAAATTTCATGTGAAAAGATTCTTTGTCCATCGTAATGACAGTACTGACATGAATGACAGAAAATGAAGATTATTTACTTCATGACCATAGAATATGACATTTTCATAAACAAGGCATGGTGTTGTTATCCTTAAGGTGCAGAAAATATTTTCACAATCACCTACGTAGGCAATTCAATTCCAAGGTCAAGCTACGTATTTGTATTAACGTATTTGTATTAGCATAGTCACCAAACCTAGGTGGATTTATTAGCAGGATAATTTATCTAGATCAAAATATTGCCTATACAAGGCTCAACATATGTAACCTAGCTAGTTACCTAACACATCTACAGAATATTGATATGGAGTCCATCGATCAAAGATAAAAGAAACCCTGGCCTTCCCCAAAAATAGACAAAAGGACTAACCAGAGCACACCTAGGATTTTACAAAAAAATTAAAGGAGATAGATGACTAATGTCTTCTTTGTTGACATCGCTGACGACCATAGGCTTGGGCACAGGAGGCGTCACCCGTGGCAGAGGAGACACCTGCTCCGTCTGAGGAGCCAGAGCAGCTACCTGGTCCCACATAAATAGCAGAATATTTTATATAGATCAAAAAATTTCATATACATGCCTAAACTAATGCAACCTAGCAACACAGCTTCGGATCCAGGATTTCAAAGTTGGGTGTTCAAAAATTTATATTGCAAACCAAAACCACAACAATGTTTTTCAAACGGGTGAGATCAAGTTGGCTTTTGAGTCCAAAAGGCATTCTTCTGCCTCTGCTTCTGTTACTCAAGAAATTAAAGAGTTAGGAGTAATATCTAAAATGTTCATGTGAAATTATTATTTTTCCATCATACTAACAGTTCAGACATAAATGACAGAAAATGAAGATTATTTAGTATGACATTTTCGTAAACAAGGCATGGTGTTGTTATCCTTTACTTGCAGAAAATATTATGCTGAAAATAAGCAACCAAATAATATATTTCAAGTAGGGATGATAACAAGTCTAAAATATTGCAGCCTATGGTAATTGGACTCCAGGAATCAAGCAATTGGCGTTGAGCAAATTGAACGACAAAAAATGTGTCTGCTGGATTAAGTGTGAGAGGCTAGTTTTATACAAACTGACATGAAATTTAGTGCACAAACTACACCACTTTTAGTCCATTTAGCAATAAAAGAACCATATATAAGAAATTTCGGGCAAAAAATTTCGGGTGGTTGGTAGATCTATCTTAAAATTTGGCATCAACACATTTTGGATGCACGAGAGCCATGGATCGGAGTGGTTGGTAGATCTTAAAAACAAGATAACCTATACAATGAGGAGCCGACCCCCACACCCATGCACCCATGTGGACCCCCCCTTGAAACCTACCGGATCTAACGAATCTAGGTACGGATTTCATAGATGGAAGAAAAGCAGAAACCCTAGTCATGCTCAAAAATAGATAAGGGACTGAACAAGGAAACCTAGGATATTTCCTAAAATAGGAATGACCTCTTCTTCATCATCGTCGCCGTCGATGTTGACCACGGGCTGCGGCAGAGGAGGAAGATGGCGTGGCAGAGGAGGCAGATGGCGTGGCAGAGGAGTCACCTGCTCCGGCGGAGGAGCCACAAGCTCCGGTGGAGGAGCCACAAGCTCCGGCGGAGGAGCCACTAGCTCCGGTGTAGGTGACACCTGCACTGGAGCCTGGACGTGGTCGACGATGTCAAGGTCGCCCTGCTGCTGGATGGACTCCTCGCCGGCAGGGAGGGGTTTCTCCATGTGCAGCTTCGCCCAACGCTTGGATGCTTAATGCGCCATGGCGCCGGCCCCGGTGTCGGCCCTCCCTCCCATGGTGCGCTTGGGCATCTCGACGGTGGAGGTGCAGCGGCGGGAAGGGAGCAGCGGCGGGATGGGCAGGCGAGTGGTGAGGCATGGGAGGAGAAAACCCTCGTATTTGTGGATGGAGAAGAGGAAGGGAAGAGGGGGGTGGCAATGAGATAAATGCTAATGGGGAAGCGGAGCCGCTGATTTATTCCTGGGAAGTCAAAAGGAGTTGTTGCCACGTTCACACCTCCCCGTGTGTTGTTCACACCACCACGTCTTGGCACGTCAAAACGTAACTTCTCACTTCTCACTAAAATGAATAGCTCGATCGTGCACATCCATGATTAAGGAGTAATGCAACTTCCCTTCAAAAAATTGTGTAATGCAGCCGCTCCCTCATTACACAGAACAAAGTCATAAAGTGGGACAACTGAATTTGTAGGCTTGTTTCATCTGCACGTGTCATGTTTTATATTTGTCCTAAAATATGTTGTAAAACTTTACAAACAATGGAATGGCAAATGGGTGTGACAAAACTTCGTCAGCAACCGCGCGGATGCGTCTGCCATATATCCGATGTCCAGTACCGAGGAGGGGAATGTTGATCCATGCGATGCCATGTGTGTCGTCTGGACCCATATCATGCACCCCGAGCCAACCGGGCCAAAACATGCGCCGCTAGCCTTCTCGATCCAAACAACGAGCTAGTGTCCGCCATGCATAGAGATGCTCATGTGGATAGGTTTGCTAGCACTAGTGAATGACGTTGGATCTTGGTGTGCAATATGTGTAGCCGCGTGTCTCTTTGGCATGCCTGCCATACTGAAGGGACTCGTCGAAGGTCCAACGAACCGCGGTGGGGTCAATGCTAGATGTATGGTGTGGGTCAACCTGGCTAACGGTGCATGGTTTGAGTTCAGGTGGTTAGGTTTGCATGGCTGGGGGCTATATGGCTAATGAGTGCGTATGCGTCATCTATACATTGTCAAGGTTGAATGGTGGTTGTCTACATGGCCATGCGTGCATGCATGGTGTGGGTCCAGTTTGCGTGCGGCACACGCGATGTGCCTTGGTGCGTAGGGCCCACAACTTGTGGCACAGAGTTCTGAAGCAGATGAAGGGGCGGGCCCTGGTCTTCGTCCACAAGCAGGACTTGTTCCCTCTCGATGGCTAGCTCTAGGATGCGTTTTGGTCTCGTTTACACACAACCTATGTGAAGGCTTATGCGTGCCTCTCTCGATGTTCGACCACACCCACACTGCGAAAGGTCCCAAGAAATTTGGATCCCTCATGAATTTGCACGGATTATAGCGGCGGCAGACGAGACCCAACATTTTTTGCCCTTAACAATGGCTCTAAGGCGGCCCTGCCAATTGGTCGCACATGGCACATATATGGACCAGAGCTTAGCATGGAACTGTCACCCCCAATCCCTGCTGTGATTTCATGTGGCCGCGGTATAGATCCTGAATTTCCAAGGATACTGCCCTAGAAATGCGGCAAATGTCCCAAATATGGCAAGCACGGGCTTCGAGAAAGGTCGGGACCTTGCATGCGCTTTTGGATTGTTCTCTGTTGACCCAAGAGAAAGCATCGACGAAAATGGAGGAACAGGCCCGCATTCATTGCACAAACCGGACACGTTACCTCAAGGTAGCTAGATCCAAACCATACACCCCGCCGTCTAGACCCACGTGGTGCACCACTTAGACACTAGACCAACATCACTTACGCCGCCCCCCAAGCCAACCGTTCCCCGTGTAGACTCATATGCCGCACCCCGCAAAATAGCTTCACACAAGACTTCACCCCGATTTCCACAACATGCACCACTACACGTAAGTGTCCAAAAAATGGACTATCACATTATCAACATTTTTTTGCCAAAACAAGTAAGTTGTTTTTAAATTGCTTGAAAATAGCAAGGTTTCTGTTAAATTATAATTTCATTAATTACACATAATAACGTGCATTTCTTTGTCCCTCAAAAAGGGTGGCATTCCTTTTTTGTAAACCCACAAAATTACTTCCTTTCCCTCGAAAAAATGAATCCTTCTTCACCCTCTCATGATCACGTTCACAGTGGCCTCGCCCTATAATCTAGGAGTGGTCGATCCAATCTCCCCACGGGGGACAACTTCCATGCACTATCTATCTTGGTTGGTTGCAACCATCTCGCCATCATGGTTTTTTATGGGAAACTCACATTCTTTTGTCTTCCCTTCCAAAGATATGTGGCGAAAAACATGGAACAAAAATTGTAGAAGGCATGGTGGGATACGTGCACATGTTGTCTTTTTGTACTACAAGTGCACTTGTTGGCAAGTTGCACGTGCAGGTGTCATGTTTCATTTTTATTGAAAATTATGCTGTACACCTTTACATAGACACTTGAATTATTGTTTTCGTATGTTAATAATTCCTAAATATTTAAATTCAGCATGCACATAACACATGGCTTCCAAGCTTCGTCAGCGACCGCTTGGATTCGTTTGGTATATGCCCGTTGTCTGGTATTGGGCAGGGGAATGTGGATCCATGCGATGCCATGCGTTTCATTTGGACCCATGTCATGCACCCCCAGCCAATCGGGCCGGCATCCTGTGCCGCTAGGCTTCTCGATCCTAACCATGCGCTAGTGTCCACCATGGGTAGAGATGCTCAGGTGCACAGGTTTGCTGGCACTAGTGAATGACGTCGTATCTCAGTGTGCAATATATGTAGTCGCGTGTTGCCTTGACATACCTGGCATGCCGAGGGAAGGGACTCGTGTCGGAGGTCCAACGAACCGAGGTGGGGTCAATAATGGATGGATGGTGTGGGTGAACCTGGCAAACGGTGCATGGTTTGAGTGAAGCTGGCTAGGTGTGCATGGCTGGGGGCTAGATGGCTAATGAGTGCGCATGCGTCTTGTGTACATTGTCAAGGTTGACCGGTGAGTGTCTACTTGGCCACACGTGCATGCATGGTGTGGGTCCAGTTGGCGTGCGGTGCACGGGACGAGCCTTAGTTGCTAGGGTCCACATCTTGCGGCACAGAGTTCTAAAGTAGATGAAGGGGCAGGCCCCGCACACCGTTCATAGGCCAGACTCGTTTCCTCTCAATGGACAATGGCTCCAAGGCAACCCTTCTCTTTGGTGGCACATGGCCCATATATATGGACCAAAGAGCTTAGCATGTGATTGTTACCCCATTCCCTGCTATGATTTCATGTGGCTGCGGTATAGATCGTGAATTCCCGATGATACTACCCTAGAAATGCGGCAACTGTCCCGAATATGGCAAGCAGGAACCAAGAAAGGCCGGGACCTAGCATGCGCGTTTGGATTGTTCTTCGTTGACCCGAGAGAAAGCACCAATGAAAACGGAGGAACGGGCCCACACTCAATGCGCAAACCGGATGCGTTACCTCAAGGCAGCTAGATCCAAACCATGCACCCCTGCCTTCTAGACTCACGTGGCGCACCGCTTACGTAGTAGACCCACACCACTTACACCGTCCCCCAAGCCAAGCATCCCCCCCGGGTAGACTCATATGTCGCACACCACAAAATAGAATTAGCACAAGACTTTCACCCCAATTCACCAGGTTACTACCTTGTGCACCCCTAGCCAGCATGATACACTACATGCACCTAGAGCCACCTGGGCCCACAGCATGCACCACTACACGTACATGTCCACAAAACGAACTAACCCATAATCAACTTTTGTTTGCAAAAAACAATTTAGTCATTTTTATAATGGCTTGAAAATAGCAAGGTTTCTGTTAAATAATAATTTCCTTAATTACAATAAGGTCCATTTTGTAACCACACAAAATTCCTACCTACCCTAAAAAAAGAATTATGAGAAAATCACCTTATATTTTTTTACTTCCAAAGACGTGTGGTGACAAAAGCATGGAACAAAATTGTAGGAGGCACGGTTGGATACGTGCACATGCTGTCTTTTTCTACTACAACTGGACTTGTTGGCAAATTGCATGTACACGTGTCATGTTTCAATTTATCTTGAAAATTATGTTGTACACATTTACATAGGCGATCAAATTGTTGTTTTCATATGTTAATAATCCCTAAATATTAACCACGTGACACTTGTGGTAAGCAATCCAAACAATTCGAAAAAAATCCCTAAATATTGAATTTAAGCATGCACCTAGAAATTATCAGTCATAGAACCAACATCTCTTTCGTAGAGATTAAGGTACTTCCACATTAAATCTAATACAATAAATTCAGAGGTTCAACTTAATACATTAACAACACATAAGGATGTAGCCCAGTAATCCAACGAGTAGAGAGAAAAGGAGGAACAAAAGCTGGAAGAAGAAGGATCAGCTAGCAGCAGCGCCATCAGCCTCCTAACCTCACAACTCTAGGTCTCCAGCCTTGTGAACTCCAGTTTTTTTTCCTGCAAAACACGAATGACAAAGTTGCTGTTACAGGTTAGGACTTAGTGAAAATTAAAGTTATGATGAAATAGTTACAATGACAAACATTGTTGACATGATGGTTACAACAAGCAAACAAAACCAAACTCACAAGTGCAACTTACTTTTAACATCAAACAATTATATTAACATGGCCACTTTAGAGCAAGATTTTACCATGCATCATAAACTTGTCATAGCAACGAAAGGCATGGCATGAAAGTATCGACAACATAATGCAAATAATTTTTAGGAAGCATGGCCATAGGAGTTATATTTTTAGTGGCAACCTTCAAGCAAAGTTGCATAGTTTTATAACAGAAAGGGCTGCTGTTATTGGTAGAGGCACATTGAGGTTGGCTAGCCATCAAGGATGACCAATGGGCCACGGGCCACATGACTGGGAGCATTTGTGTGCGCATGACTGCCGTGGGACCCGGATGTCAGTGGCTTACTTTGAAAACAAAAGGGGGGGGGGTTTATAGTTTAGTCGGAACCATCAAGCAAATTCGCAAAGTTTTATAGCTGACAGATTTATACTTGCTGAGATGCACAAAGTAAAATGATGGCATGTTGGAGACAATAAATAAATATGATACATGGCTTG